GGAACGAACACCATATGGAATTGATTTACCGTTGTGGATGAAGTTTTCTTTCAGGGTCCTCGGATGGAAGTCATAGGGCCCCAACTTGATAAATCGGTTGATCTTGTGCATGAGTTGACGAATGTTTTACCCCGTAAAGACCACGTCCAATAAAAGGCGCCGGTAATTATATCTCCACATTTTTTCATGTGACGAGGACACTCGGGCTGAATTTAGATTTGTAGATCTCGGATACTACTATTTTTCACACTGGCTTTCCCCGTTCCTCAAGGAGAACGGGGATAGCTTGCTTTGCAGCGATTTCGCATACATTTAAAAAGGGATGAATGTGCTTTCTCAGACAACATCCGGAATTGTGGCTTGTCAAACAACGTGCACACGTATGTATGTGTTGAGTCTCCACCTATATTTTGCTTCGCTTAAGCAGAAAGTTTGACCGTTTTGCAGCCGTGGAGCCGTACATCCGGATTATCTCGAAAGTCACCGCCTGTTAGAGCACAACAAGGACCAAATCCATGCAGAAGGAACTGAATGCGTCAATGAATTTCCTTCGTGACACCAAATTCATTGCTCAGACGCTTCTGGAAACTGTTGAACCCTAAATCATTTCAGCATTCATTCTCCTCTCACGTTTAAGCTTATTTCGTGTTTCCGTCTCTAGATTCCGGGAACCATTGGTGAATAATCTGAGGACACCCGCAGCAGTTCTCTAGACAATTATACCTGACCACCACTGATTTGACCGAGTTCTTTCAACTAATTTTAACATCCCAGCTTCCCCACCCACATGTGATTTTTAAGGATGTGTGCTGGGCATTACCAGCATTAACAGTCCGTTACATGACCTACCTATTTGTGTATTCTGTGGCGGTTATACCCGTTTTGGCGGATAGCTGTGAGCCGTCCGGGTTTTGTCTCTAGGACAGATGTCTCCTCTGCCTTGTTGGACTTTGGCAAAGCTTGCTTGTTCCTGTTTATCACAGTGCCGTGAACAGCAGAACGGAAGGATGAGGAGCGGCAATAAATTGGCTTCAAACACCGCATTGTTCGAAAAGCTCATGATGAATATGCTTATCCTACCAGACGTCTCTGTGGAGACAATGTCAATTGAATGGAATCAACTCTTCATGATGGTCAGTAAAATCCACAGATGGAAAACGCAGAATGAGTGTGTATTTCTTCAACAAATAAAAGCCATCTATAAAATTTTGAGGTGCGTGTAGAAACATTGCCCGATGTCACATGACATGTACATAAATGTTGCAAAGTTTAGGCTAGTTACAATATTTGTAGCTGTCTGTCTTCGTGCATGCGTATCCTTGAAACAGCCGTTGATTACCACGACAATGTTAAATTAGCCTAAATTTNAGTGCTGTAGGATTAGGACGACCGCAAACTCCCAGAAACAGACTGAGATTCATGATATATTTTTCAGGAATTGTCGGTCCTTCCAGCGATGAAATTTATGAAAAGACAAGCTCATTGTCGAATCCCATTGAATCCTGAGAAAAAACAAAGCGGAATTAAGCTTGATAAACCGTTAGTCGACGGCTAACAGTGTACATGTCATATAACATCCGGCAATGTTTCTACACGCACCTCAAAATTTTATAGATGGCCTTTATTTATTGAAGAAATACACACTCATTCTGCGTTTTCCATCTGTGGATTTTACTGACCATCATGAAGAGTTGATTCCATTCAATTGACATTGTCTCCACAGAGACGTCTGGTAGGATAAGCATATTCATCATGAGCTTTTCGAACAATGCGGTGTTTGAAGCCAATTTATTGCCGCTCCTCATCCTTCCGTTCTGCTGTTCACGGCACTGTGATAAACAGGAACAAGCAAGCTTTGCCAAAGTCCAACAAGGCAGAGGAGACATCTGTCCTAGAGACAAAACCCGGACGGCTCACAGCTATCCGCCAAAACGGGTATAACCGCCACAGAATACACAAATAGGTAGGTCATGTAACGGACTGTTAATGCTGGTAATGCCCAGCACACATCCTTAAAAATCACATGTGGGTGGGGAACCCGGGATGTTAAAATTAGTTGAAAGAACTCGGTCAAATCAGTGGTGGTCAGGTATAATTTTCTAGAGAACTGCTGCGGGTGTCCTCAGATTATTCACCAATGGTTGCCGGAATCTAGAGACGGAAACACGAAATAAGCTTAAACGTGAGAGGTGAATGAATGCTGTAATGATTTAGGGTTCAACAGTTTCCAGAAGCGTCTGAGCAATGAATTCGGTATCACGCAGCAAATTCATTGATGCAGTCAGCTCCTTCTGCATGGATTTGGTAATTGTGGTGGTCTAAAAGGCGGTGCCGTTCGAGAAAATTCGAATGTACGGCACCACTCTCTCATGAAAAATGTAGTGGTGACGGTTGCAAAGCGGTCAAACTTTCTACTTAAGCGAGGCATGCGAAATCGCCGAAAACATGCCATCCGCGTTCACCTCAGGGAGAACCGGGAAAGCCCGAGTGAAAAAATAGTGGTATTTGAGGTCTACAAATCTAAATTCAGCCCGAGTGTCCTCGTCACATGAAAAAATGTGGAGATATAATTACCGGCGCCTTTTATTGGACGTGGTCTTTACGGGGTAAAACATTCGTCAACTCATGCACAAGATCAACCGATTTATCAAGTTGGGGCCCTATGACTTCCATCCGAGGACCCTGAAAGAAAACTTCATCCACAACGGCAAATCAATTCCATATGGTGTTCCGCCAGGCGCTCTACCAAGATCACCTTCTACAGGTTTGGACTGAAGCGACTGTCACGGCAATCTTCAAAGCTAATGACCGACTATCGCCTGGGAGCTATAGGCCATAAGCCTCGCTAGCCTGCCGTGCGAGGAGGTGGAACGCATTCAGAATCAAGTTGTCATGGATAGCCTTATTTCCAACAACTTGATACATCCAGCCCAATAGGGATTTCACCCAAACCGTTCTTACGTGACGAACATTCTTGTGTATATCGACAGCTTACCCAAGCCAAGGATGAAGGACTCGTATCAGATGCCATATTATTTTGAATTCTCAAAAACATTTGATCGGGGCCACACGTCACGCTGCTCCACAAACTTGATTCCTACGGTGTTCAAGGGAAAATATGTGTACTATATCAAGGCATTCCTATCAGACAGAAAATCTCCAGTAAGAGAAGGCTTGACCTACTCTCCATTCTCTTCACATTGTGATAAACAGGAACAAGCACGCTTCATCAACGTCCGACAAGGCGGGAAACGGAACTGTCCCAGTGACAATCACTTGGCGGCCTCACAGCTGTCGGCCCTAACGAGTATGAACGTGCGTAAATACACACCCAAGCAAGTCGTGTAAGCGATTTGTAATGCTGGTAATGTCCAACACACATCCTTGAAATCCATATGCAGATGTGGGAACTCGGTTGTTAAAATTGGTGGCAAAAGCTCAGCTTAATCAATGGTTGTCGGGTATAGTCATCTCGGAAACTGCTGCGGGTGTCCCCATATTATTCACCCTAAGATTATTGCGGGAAGCTGGAAATCGGTGCACAAATTAAGCCTAAACGTGTGGGAAGAAGAAATACTAACAAATAGGGTTCAACAGTTTCCAGCAATGCATTCGCTATCATGCAGCTGCAATCAGCATTGGTCTCCTGTCAACCTGCTTGTAAATTTGTTAGTCGGTAGGATAATCGACTAACGTGTGGCGTTTTGAAAAATTAGGCCTTGTTGCTTCATCGAAATCACTTGCTCACTCGACCCTCTTCCCGTGGATTTGGTCCTGGTTGTGGTGTATTTGGCAGTGCCGTTCGGGATAATTCCAATGTACCGCTTCACGGTCTTCAGAATAAATTTACTGCGAACGTCTACAGAAAGGTCAGAATTTGTCCTCATGCAAAGTAGAAATCTAGGTAGAAATTGAAAACATACATACGTGTCAAGGTTGCTTGACAAACATCGACGGTTGAATATGTGATGTAAAATTGAAGGGCGGATTTTCCCTGAAGTAACCAGCCTAAGGATGAGCAATCGTTTTGAAAATTTGTCTTCCTACGTTTTCCTACGGCGTTTTCATGGATTGATTGGGTCATTATAATTCAAACAGTCAATCCACCAATCAATAATTGATTCCCATACAGCGCATTTGGTTGACGAGGACAATAGCTGAGCGAAGCATACGAAGTATTCCAAACTATAACCAGTAGGCATAAAGGGTTTCTGAAACATCAAATTCATTCATTGCTCGGCAGTTCCATTTCGGATGAATACGTCAACAGAGACATCCATTGTAAAGTGTATCGCATCAAAAATCATGGATTCCTCTAAAATATTGTGCGAGAGAACCTTCCAACCATTGTTCGTTCTCACGTGGATGAATGCGAAAGCCTTTAAACAAGACAGCAAAAGAGCGGGCTAATTAAACTCTTAGAGGTGGGCGATCTAGACGGTTTTGCTTGTGTGTAATAAAGCACACAAAGCTGGGGGCATCCTATACAGACACCATACCAAAGTCTTCTTAATTAGCATACGCGGACCAAACAGAGAATCCGAAAATACTGCTAATTGGGTAGCTAGACCAAAACGTTCGTCCTCTTCAGAAGAGGAAAATTCACCTTGAATAGAGAACTCATTTCATCTTTTTAAGTAATTCAGTTCTCGCGAAATTATTGACAAGTTCACTAGTTTCCCTTTCATGCGCAGCACCGCTTCATTTGCCCAACAGCCGTGCCACATGGTCGA